TACGTTGCGGTACGGTATTACTGTTTCATCAACCCGTTGGCCTTCATTTTGGGAATTTTCTTCTTGTTTATCTTCAGAACTATGGACGCTGTTGTCCCATTGAATTCTGACACGTCGTATCACACAACCCGCCAGCCATTTATTATGTCTCTCCGCGTTCACCTGGACCGCTATTGCCAACAGCGAGCTATGTCCCACGAGAGGATCTCACCTACACGACGCTCACGCTCTCCAACTAGGACGTCGTCTTCCGCTATGGGCTCTACGTCATTCCGGCACCCACCCAACCGGTCTTCGCCTCCGACACCTCACCGACCGGTTATTTTCCAGTTGGACCTGAAGCCGATGCAACAACTGGCCGTACGCAACCCTTATTACAACATCTTGACCCCCAATGTCGCGGGCAACCTTCCTACGGCCACCTATGACAGCTTGTTCCAGACGTTCAAGGTCATCTACCCGGACTATGCTCGCAGTCATTTCGTTTCAGACAAAACCGTAGTCACCGACACACTGCTACAACGCTGGTCCATACACCTACCAGCGTCGGAGTTCTACATGATGATTGACACCGATCAAGGAGCTCAGATGCTTGACGACCTTCCTCATTCTCTTCTGGATGTTTTGAATTGGTTCTACCCGAGATGGAAAACTCATCAACATCTTGATGCCTTCACGACCCGCGAGTGTTCTCCGTTGCTGCTGACACCACATCCAGATGCACAAGACACTGGCTTTGCTGTACATGTTCAAGTGATTCCCCGTGGACATCCATTCGTCACGGCCACCCGATACACTAAAGCCGCTGAGTGATTAGCTGTCTTGATGGATCTTGACACGGCTCACGTCTATGAGGAAAAAGACCAACATTCGTTGTGATGTCCACCACCCCGGTTCTGATTTTCCCTTGTGTCATCCTTTTCTCGTTTTCCAGTGGGTGATATTCGTTATTTATTCCTTCATCATTGACCTTCCCCACGGCCTTTTGGCTTCAGTTTAGTATTTCCCGCTATCATATTCTTTTGATCGTACATGATGACCTCCAACACGGATGATCCTGCTCGATTGGTCTCGCACGGTTTACCACCTACATCCATACATGGCCTTGCCTCACACTTGCCACCGGATGATCCCACCTCGGCATCCTATATTCCTCGTGCAGCGAGAATGATTCCGACCTCTACCACTGTCCACTCCGTCTTCATCAAGAAGCTGAGCTATCCTTTGTCTAACCGTTCAGATGAACTTTGGATCGTGGAAAGGACACTTGATGGTCTTGAAACGTGGAAACCAGTGGAAACATTCCTGGAGAACATGCACCTCACCAACGACCAGGCAACCTTGCGCACTACAGCTAACCATTGGCGCAGATACTATGATGTACCAATTCAACCATCATCCTCCTCCCCTACGGCAACTACTGTTCCCGTTTTACCACACCCTGAACACTCCAACGTCCATGTCTCACAGCCGTACGAAGCGATACCGGACCACCTCCATATTTTACAGTCATGCTGGGGACGCTCCGCCCAACACCATTCTCAAGGAACCACTACCTCTTTATATTGGCCACCTTGGCGGTCTACACCACCGTCTTCCCCACCGGCAACACTACACCGTACTGTATATCTCACTCGCCCCGCTGTCCCTCCTCAACAAGTACATGGTCCGTTGGATGCGAACGATATTGACCCGATGGATATGTCGGATTCAAGTGTGTAATATACCACATTCTTTGTCGGCGGAAAAAAGACCTGTGATTCATCGTCTCTTTGTGTGACCATTTACTAGGTACACCGTTTCTCTTTTATTTCTAACACTTTGTGCTTGTTCCTGTGGCTATTCCACCCCATTTTGCAGCTTGGGCTTTGCGCTTTATCCTCGATACTTCACATTCGACGCAATGGCTCGTTCTTCTCGACCCAATCCATATCGCGCCACATCTACGATTGAGACACCGCTTGGTACACGAACCGTTGGGTGGATTGCTGGACATCGAGGCCTCCCTGGTGATGTGAACCCTCCTCCAAACAGACCTGTCCTTATCTTGGTTGACTTCTCTCCCTTACAGGCATTGACTCACCGAAGCGAACCTGACCGTGAACACTACATGGCTCTGGTGAACTCCAATTTTAGACATGTCAGTGGCTTTGAACTTGCAGCTTTGTTTACCTGTTCACGTCAGATGGAACCAGTTGAAGCCGGCCTCATCCCAATTGCCGAACTCCGCTTTTGTATCTCCAAAAGATTGAGGCCCCAATGGGACATCCAAATTGATCCCTCGAACCTGGAGTTTCGCTTTTGCGACTTGGACGGTGATACATTCCAAGTTTCCAATGATATGACGGTCTTGCAGCTTTTGGAGGCATACCGACCTGAGTGGCGACTTCGGCAGTACAATTCCCGCGAATCCTCTTTCCTCATCCCGGGTACCAGACAGCCTTTCCTACTACGCTTGAAATGCTACAAAATTAGCTCCGGTGTGATCCTGCCCTGATGCACTAGCCGGCCAAAAAAGACTATGCTACAGGGTTTTCAATTCCTCCTTGACACCCCACTAACACAAAGGATTTTTCGATTTCTATTTTATTTGACTTGGAGCTGTGGCTTCTCCGTCGCAACTGACCCACTTGATTGAGGACTGGATTTCACTTTTTTCATTTTTGTGAATATTATCAATTTCGGGATTGGCTTTCTTCTGCAATTCTTGATGCTTCAGCCGTTGTTGCACTATTTCTCGTATTTGTGACAGTTTCACCCATGGAACACAAACGAGACGCGACCGTGGCGGGCTTGTCTTGGCCTGCGAACTCTACTCGTGGACTCGCTCCTACCGACCCAGTTCAAGTACCAGACGCCTCGACTTCTGCACTATGTCACTCAGGAGCTCCCGACACTACGACCAACCCTACTCCGGCCCCTTTGGTAACTGACAGTACGGCACCTGCTACGGGTACACTGGCCCATTCTGATACATATTCAGGACCAGCACCTCCTGGCGTTCCATTTCCGACAGACTCAAGTTCTACACACAACTACTTCCATCGTGCTCAGTTCTCTTCTCGCGTGGTTCACCAGATCCAATTCAAGGTCATTACCCACTCCAACAACACCAGGGAGCTATTCATTGAAGAAATTCCTTTGTTAGGGCATTCCCGATGTCGTGACCCTGAACACTATTTCTATGGTCTCTCCGGCAACTGGGAGTGGTCCCTGCGCACAGCGGACTATTGGCGACATCATTTTGAGATTCCCCTTGTACATGGACACCATCCTTTTCACAATGTGCCCATTGAGACGACATCTCCTGGAGATGAACCAAGGCTGACCACCCGGATCCATGAATTAGCCAAAGATCTATCTGACACCTTGAAGGCTGCTACGGCATCGGGGGAATTCGATCAGACTTGGGCGATGGTTGAACGCATGAGCTTCCACGATGCTATGGAAGTCCTTCTACAAGCTCCGAATTCCTCTTCTGACTGACGTGACCGCCCTTTTGTACATTAGGTTATTACAGGTTCACTTTCACTGGTGTCTTGCCGATTCCGCCAGCGAAGTTCTTCCAAAAAACCGACCTCGCTACATGCGAGGTGTGTGTGTGTGTACCATCTGAACAGATGTAAAACTTCTGATTGGTTTTCACTAATTTGCAGGGGGGTGCAGAGCACAGTGGAGACTGCACCCAACGAAGCTATCCACTTGTGCTGGAAGCAGAGTCTGATCAACTCTGTGTACCTGCAAAGTTTGGTTTCAACTGTTGATCAAGCTGTTACACTGCGTTGTTTCGAATCTACACGGTTGCCACAATCTGTATTGCATGCATCAGAACCTTCCTCAGATTTTCGCCGAAACCATATCGCCGACAGTATTATGTTTTTTGACTTATTTTCACCGAGACCCTGTCGCCGACGAACTATGGGTTATTTTGGGAAACAATCGCCGAAACATTATTTTGGATTTCCACATGCTGGTCAAAACTCTATGGAATCTGGTTATGACTACGTTTGACAATTTCGGATGCCCTACATCGTTTGCGAGAAGTACCTCATGTGGCTCTTTTATTCATCTAATAATCTAGGCTGGTTTGCATGTTTCAGGATTCAGTTCCTGCCGGATCATATAATGATCCATTCTTGTCTAGTGTGTGTGTGCATCAGGTTCCACCGTATTCCAGTTTTGAAGTTTCCATTTTTCTGAACAGATTTCATACCCTCTGGTAATTTAACATAGCAATAGAAAATCACAACTTTTAATAGGTAAACCATCTATAAATGGGCCATTTCCATAGCAAACTGTTAGTTTACCAGAGGGTATTCTCAACCCAGCACCATAGCACCACAGGATTTCCGAATCGATGACCGCTATTTATTTGCGGTCGCCGTTCGTCGCCAGGATTGGTTGGAATGAGACAGTGCAGCAGCAGGTCTTACTGGGCCTGGGTCTCTTGGCTGCCATGGTCAGCAGAATCATTCAGTTCCTGGTTGGTGGCTTCAAACATGAATTTTATTTTATATTGTCCATAATTTATGGGATCATCCTTCCCATTGACTAACTCATATGTTTCAAGATGGTTAAAACCACCAACCAGGTTCAATTTTAAAAGGTCAACGCGTTGAAACGTGTAATCGATGAAACCCTTCAAAAAAAGTTCAATAAAATTGCGTGATATCTTCTGTATTCATTATTGTTCTGCCCACTTTTATAGCTGTTTTCAAGATAACCAGGCTTCCACCAGGCTAGTAGGGGGTTTAGAGGCTTGCTCAAACGCCTTGCAGCCTCCTATTTTTTTGTTGGCCCGTTGAATCACGAAGAGGAGTTGGAAGTGGCCAAGTTCCAGCAAGTTTCAATCACTCTCGAGTCAACGAAGATGGCTGGAAAATCTTATGAATTCATCCAAATTCATCAATAATATAATCTAAAAAGCTAGAATAGTCTTGTACCGGTCTAAAAAAAAACATTAACTTATTTTCTGTGGATCTCAGCTCAGCACCACAGGTATGGCGACTTTGATCCCCACAGCTGGTACGGCGGCAGTGGAAATTGGTCCAGCACTTGGCGTCCGCGTGGCTGGAGTGCCTTGGCATGAAACTGTCAAGAAGCGCTCCAGTTTTTCAGATTTTCGGATTTCCCAGATTTTCCCGAATTTCCGGTGTTTGTTCTGTGTGAATCAGCATTTTCATTGCCACGATTTGCCACGTATCCCTTCTTTGACACGGAATTCGCTCCAAAATTGGGCAGGTGATGCTGCAAGCAGGGCAGAACCACTCCAAGAACTTGTTGTGGTGGAGCCAGGGGGGTGATCCAAAGAACCCAGGGCTTCTGTCAGATGTTCCGTGGCATCGCGACAGGGATCACGGGGTGGAAGTTTTTGGATGGAAAAATGGTGGTTTTTGGGCCGGTTTTGCCCAGATTTGGTGATCTTGTTGGATTTAAGTCATCCTTTCCCCCTGTTCATACGAACCACCCCTCCATAAACCATGGTGGATGTAGGGGATGAAGCCACATCGGGACCATACAATGGAGGTGAGCATCTTTGGGATGGTACCACTGCTAGAAGAGATTGTTGGGACATGGGGGAAGGGATTGTACCATGTTCTTTTGATCCTGATCAAAGCGCCATCAAATCATCCGATCCCCGATTCTTGCGGAAATCCCGATCCTAGGTGGTGCCCGCAGTCTGAAGTTGGTTTATGAACCCCATTATACAACTATTAGTTCGGCCTATCTATTATATAGAACTCATCTGTGAACACCAACTGAGCCATCTTTTCGGGGACCCACCTTTCACAAAAGCCTAGAGATGGCCCGGAAGTTTCCTCACCCACCCTCGAGGTCTTTGCACGTGTGGGAGGCCCGGATACTTCAAAGGTTTCGGCTGAGGTAATGATGCTTGGTACCTATTCTGGATGGGTCGAAACCTTCAAAACAAGGCTCCTTTGGGTTCCAGGTCTATATTTTTTTTACACATGGACGTGCAAAAAATGTGTTATACACCCATATCCTGCGTATAATCACACTAAAACACACACATGATAATTAAATATTACATAATGTGCATATATAATCACATATATATATACACACGTATATGCTCGTGCAAAAGTACGTGTTATCCTGGTATAAATATGCACACACACACAGATATATATATATATATATGTATATTACACATACACATGTATACATATGTGTATAATATACTTATATGATATACACACAATTGCATATAAACACATGTACATACACACATACGTACACACACACACATATATATATATGCATACGCATATGTATACACATATGTATGCACACATGCATGCACAAATGTATACAGATATGTGCAAGTATATATATATATATATAAAGAGAGAGAGAGAGAGGTTGATATGGAGATAGATATGCACGGATTGAAATTGGCCGATAGCTGATGATGTTTCTTGAGATGTGGTACATTTTGGAGAACCGTACGAACCTACCACTCACAGTATACAGTTGGCTACAAATTCAGTTTTGGGAAATCTATGATCATTGGCCCAGATCCATGGACCCGTACATGCTTGGCAAACCTGGTTGAATGTTTGGACACAAGGTTGGTGGAGAATGCTGGAACATGATATCAGATATCGCAATCACACTGGTTGCGAAGGATGACATGCTAGCAAAATACTGGTTGGTGGTTTGGAACATTTGTTATTTTTCCATAGATTGGGAATGTCATCATCCCAACTGACGAAGTTATATTTTTCAGAGGGGTGGCTCAACCACCAACCAGATGGGATGTGACGTACCCATTTTATGACAGGTTCACAGGAAGCTGTGGGCCCGGGGATGGAGCACACTGTAGGCAAATGGGTTGATGTGGGCTTCTCAGTGATAGAATTGGCATTGATTTACTGGCCAGTTCTGGTTTGACAGTATTGGCAATACAAACCACATTAATTTATATACATGGATCAAGTATACTGATATACTTGCCACTGGGCGGTAGCAGCACATTTACGCTCAGGGAATGGAGAACAGCTAGGGTTGCTCACCGTTTGCAGTGACCAAAAACAACTTCCATCGCTCGTATCGGACACTGGCGGATCAAAAGGTTGCAACGGTGCAATATAGTAATGCAGTAGTAAATCATCCCCAATTTTACCATTTTTATGGGTGGTATAAACACACATATATATATATATATATAAACACCATCAATCCATATGGGTGGCTCATGACATTGCTTTACTAACATTAGAGAACATTATACTTCACGTTACTTTGTGATCACCGAGCATAGCCCACTCCGCAAATTCCAGCTGGCCAGGCCAGATCCAAAGTGCCCCCGGCTTCCCCAATACAGCGTAGTTCGCGTAGATGCACTCATCCAAAGATGTGTCTACCATCAACACACTCCAACTATATACCAGCATAGCACCGAAAAAATCACACACTCACACCCTGCTTGCAGTATAACTTGTTGAATTTGTAGAATGAATTTGCACGCTCAAAGGATGTCCAAAAATAGACCGTTAAGCTCCCCCTAATCAATACTTTGCACGCCCTTATTCAATATTATCGGGTCTTATCAGTGATTATTGGTGATAAAGATTTAATGAGTGCTGTAAAGTATTAATTATACTGTACGCCCTCAATGATGCCATTATATAATCTTATATAATTGTTACTTTACCACGATCATTAGTTGATCCACCATGGTCACCGGTCACCTTCAGCCCCAAGTGTTTTAGGATCGCAGTCAGCGGGAGCCATGTGGTCATGGACAACGTCTGGGCCTGGCGTGCCGACTGCTGCCAGAATGGTTGTGGCACCTGTGCAGTGAGGTGCCAACGGTGCCATTGCTTGGGTGTACTTGGAGGATCATCCCACGAATAGTTCTTGTGGTTAACAATCTTAGTTAAGAAGTACCCATTGAAAAAATTGGTTACCCTCTGGTTATTTAACACAGCCATGGAAAATGGCCCATTTATACTGACGGACTGAAACTTAGAATGCGCACTTGGAAGCATCACTCCACACGTGCAAAACTGAGAAATTGCATTTTACCAGCATTTCGGAACTTAGAATGCGTCCCCCCACCTAGGATGAAGCTATTCGGCAATCAACAGTTAGAATGCCTCCAAGCGCATATGTGTTTTTCCAGGCAGAAACACATATATATATCCTAGACCCTCCAAGTCACCATAAAAAAGGTAGTTTACCACATAATTTTCATAGTTTTAGTATTTTTTCAGGGTATTTGGAGGCTCTGGGTATATGAATGTACCTATTTGAGAATATCACATTATTTTTTGTGCACTATGCAGGTCTGGGTACTTTTACTCGCTTTCCCCATTCGATAACCTTGACAAAAGTGAGTTTCCCGTGCAAAAATTGCGATTTTGGACACATACCTGAGGTAGGTAGGCTTCTGGGAAAAGAGGACACACCCAGCCACTAATGGTGTTGAACAGACAGTGAGAATGTGGCTTTAGTAAAGGATCCCCATCATTGATAAATACCTTATTTTTATCTCCTAGATGGGCCGCTAGCTGGAATGCCTGTAACTGTCACTGATTGGGAAAGATGTTTATATGTTTTTTTTTAACGGCAAAACTGGAAAATTGCATTTTACCAGCATTTCAGAACCTAGAATGCCTCCCCCCACCTAGGATGAAGCTATTCGGGAATCAACAGTTAGAATGCCTCCAAGGGCATATGTTTTTTTCCAGGCAGAAACACATATATATCCTAGACCCTCCATGTCACCATAAAAAAGGTAGTTTACCACATAATTTTCATAGTTTTAGCAATTGTTCAGGGTATTTGGAGGCTCTGGGTAAATGACTGTAATCAGGTCAACTTATCATGTCTAGCCCTTGCTCGTCCTGGAAACATACATACTTGGTATGTATATAGAAAGTTTTTTTGAAAACATGATGCAAGCCCACCCATCCATGCTAGAATATGCTAGTGCCGGCCATGTACCTTGCACCCAATGAGGTTCCCTGAGGCCATGTTTTTTTTTTAAAGCTACGTATCTATATATTTATCTTTTTTAATATATGTACAGTATATATACACACACCGACGGACTGAAACTTCGAATGCTACGCTCCTTTCCTGAGAGTAGTTTACAGACAGTTAGAATGCTCCATGATGCCCCATCCGTCATTTCAGTATATCTTTATCTATCTCAATCTAAACACTTTGGGTCAGCATTCTAACTGTCTGGTCGCCGCCCGGGGCTGCGCCGCATTCTAAGTTTACGAAAAAGGGAAATTTGGAAAAATGGGTCGCATTCTAAGTTTCAGTCCGTCAGTATATAGATGGTTTGCCTACTAAAAATGGTGATTTTGCATGGCTATGTCAAATAACCAGATGGTAGGTGATAGTTTAACCATTCATTAATCACTTACGAATACGAACTGGGATGATCCTCCAGGTAGTCAGGTAGTGCCATGGACAGGTTACTGTGGCAAACCCAATGCCATGAACCATCCCAGCAACCAACCATGACTAGGGGTCAGTTTTTTCTTGGATCTAATTAATACAGGACACCCAATGTCATAAACCGCAATCGGGGATGGTCAAAATTGGGTTTACCACATGTGTGATTCCACGCTGTCACATGCATGGTCTTAGAGATGCCTGGTTGTGAATGACTGTCATGTCACGCACCTTTTGGCTTAAACCTTTATAAGGCCCTTGAGCTTTTCGTGGCGACGAACAAAAGGATCCAGCCGAGATTCAATCTGGTAGCGGAGCAGGTTCCGGAGGGTGATCCCCGGGATTTGACTCTCACGGTAACTCGCAGATCCAGGACGATGAGATTGCGTTTGTGTGACAGCTTAGTGCTGATCAAAGGACCCGAGACCGCTTTGCTGATCAGAAGAAGGACTCTATCAATGTCCCTTGCAGGATTGAGGTATCAGTCCACGACCTTTGGCACGGCACCTCAAGAGACCAAGTCTGGTTCGTACATCTATACTCTGGTAGCCCTAGCGGATTCCATGAGTGGGGGTTCAGGACCCGAATTCGTGTGGAGTTCCTCAAGCAGAAGATCAAGAAGAAGGTTTTGGAGCACAGGACCAAATCTACGTCAACTTCACCTGAACGAGGACGTGCTGAGAGGAGTCCCGTCGTAGGACCAGGAGATGGTGATGACGCCCAGGCGACTGATGCGCCTGGTGCACGAGGGGCTAGCGATCCCGGAAGCCCTGAAGATGGACAGACTGGACGTGATGGACAGGGAGATGGTGAGCAGGAGGAGGAGCGTTCTGACTATGCTTCACCTCGTGTTGCACCTAGCTTCCCTGGCTCAGTTGAGGATGAACAGCTTTCAGGGGAGATCTATTCCCGGAGGGCTGAGTTGGTGCAAAAGGTGTTGGAAGGCCTGAGAGGTGATGCCTACCTTGCCGCTCAGGACCTTGGAGTTGAAACTTTGATGAAGGATGGTGGAATTGAGACTTTGATCGCAACTTTGAAGAAGATGATTTTCCCATTATTTTCCCTTTGCAATCCTTGGAAAAGCCAAGGAGCTTTTCCGAGTAGGACAGATGCAACATGGCCTCTTGTCCCGCCAGACAGGGCAGTCTGTGACTTCCTTCATTTCAAGACGACGCAGGTGGTGGCGCCAAGTGAAGGAGCTCGATTCCAACATGCTGATTTCCGATCAGATAAGCGCCGAGCTTCTCATAGAGAGTGCTGGTTTGACCAAGCAGGAGCAGCTCATGATCAGAACTGCTGCCAAGAACCATATACGTTTGATGACTACGCAGCCATCTTGCTTGAGCACCATGGGAGAATTCATTTGAAGGATTCCAGGTCCCTGGCGCCGCAGTACAAGTCCAGTACCAATTACCCCCACAAGAAGGGACAATCCAAAGGGTCGCAAAAGCCTTGGTATGGAAGCAACCGCACAGCCCATTGGTCAGAAGCCATTGAGGAGACCTGGCATGAGCCAGAGGAGTATCACGGAGAAGATGAGCACGACGAAAACTACGATGAACATGGGTATTTGGCCCACAACGATGAATCAGAACAGCCCACTGAGTGGGACTACGTCGAAGATGATGACACCGCAGCTGCCTTGGTCGCCATGGCCGAGTGTGACCACGATGAGACACCAGCTGAAGAGCTGGATGATCTTGCAGAAGCTGCCCAACAGCTCTATGTGGGTTACATGGCCACTGGCACCCACAAGGGGAAGACCAAGGTTTCAAAGGCAAGGATAAAGGCAAAGGCAAAGGAAAGCACATTTTCCGAACACAGCTCAGTGTACAGGATCGAGTTAAGCGTTTGGCAGAGCTGAAAGCTCGTCCCAAATGCCTCCGATGCGGGAGTACAGGACACTGGGCAGGTGACCCCATTTGCAAATTCCCCAGCCAGGGGAAGAAGCCGCCTGTCAAGCCCCAGGCAGCCAAGCCTGGTGTAGGATACATGGCAATCAGTGATGAGGAGTCATCTGCAGGTGAGTACGGTGTTTTGCATGTGCGTTCACGTCAGGAGAAAGAACACTCTGCGTACATGGCTTAGGACCCCAGTTTCCAGACGTTCTGCAAAGGCACCTCCGTCAGCAGGTGGATCAGCCGACTCATGTGATTTCAGCATGGTCAGTGACAACCGCAAGGACAGGGCACGTCGGACTCGTGTCCCAGCATCCGCACAGGGGAGTGAAAGCTTGCCTGATGGGTCAGACAACAAGTTCACGTTTGGCCAACATGTTGGGTTGTCCTATCATGAGGTTTTGCATAAGTACCCTGGTTATTACCTATGGGGAAAAGAGCAGAAGTCACCTAGCAAGGGTTTGGCTGACTTTTTGGATTGGGCCACTGAGAACTAGGAGGTTGACGGTGAATCCAATGAAGTCATTCCACGCATGTTGCCTTTGGAAGAAGCTTCGTCTATTGCACGGTCAAGTCATGCCCCCAAATCCCCCACTTTCCAAGTGCGGCAAATGCACCCGCTTCACAGCCTTGGGGAGCAATGCCTACATCCAGGTCAAGACGTGCTTGGACTGCGGGCACCAGACCAGGATAAAGCGTGAACAGGTTTATGCTGAATGACCTGAAACATGCAGACATCAGGACTTGGACAAACGTGGAAGTAGCAAGTACACTGCACGTTTCTTTTGCAAGCAATGTGGTACGTTTGTGGATGAAATGCCCCAAGCAGAAGCTAGGAGGAGACGTCAGTTAGGACAAGACATTGCCACACTTCCCTCAAGTGCAATTGACACCACTGAAAGGGTGTACCACATGATGAACATTCTCCAACAAGACCTTGATGTGAAGCTGCAGTCAGGAAAGCCTGTGCGTGCTGCCGTTGTGCATGGGATCCTTGCAAACGCCGTTGAGGCTGCCCGAGAGGCAGACCCCGAGCACATTGTCACCCATGGATGACCAGATTGTTGGTCCTGCTTCGCGTGTGGTTGACATTTGGAATGATGATGGTGTTTGGGCAGTGTTGGATGAAGGTTGCAACTCAACTGTTTGTGGTTCTGAGTGGATGGAACGGGCAGTTGAGGCATATGCTGCTGTAGGGTATGATGTTGTGAAGATTTCTGACGAAACCAAGCCTTTCAATCAAGGGTTTGTCTGGAGTCACCAAAACCCATGGCAGTTACCGCATCCCTCTTGCTCTCACCTTTGTCAACAAAAATCAGAAATTGCCTAGTATCATATGGCAGTACCATTGTTGTTGTCACAACATGCGCAAGCAGCAATGAGTTTGGTCAAGATGATGGGTGAAAGCAAGTGCACGGTAGGTCTAGGAGGACCAGAGGTTGAACTTTGCCGAGTGAAAGAATCAGGATTACTTTGCATCAATTTGTCAAGTGCATTGACACGACTGAAAGACAGAAAATTACCCCCAAGCTTGAAGGAGTTGAGACTTTCTTTGAGCGCGCCAACTGCTTTCCCAGCCATGATCGAGTCTGGCAGCAACCCCGGTGCTGATCTCATGTGGCAGGGAGTTTGACCGCGGAATCGCGGATTTTGTGGAGCCCAACGCCTACAGGGTTCGCGCTGGCAGATCGGCAGCAGCTTCATTTGGCCTTTCCACAAGGACCACGTGGTTGTGAATGTGCTGAAGTTTGGGGATCCCAACCATGACCCCTCACTTCTAGGCCATGTGGGTTGCCACCCTGAGATTTTGAAAGGTTTCTTTGCCACTACAGAGAGCCAAGCTGATTTGGTTGAGATGTTGCGCATCTTGGTGGAGTCAAAAGACAGCATTGGCAATTGGCATGGTGGTTTACTGCAACAAGAACCGCCACCGACCGCTCTGTTGGAGTGAGTTGGTTGCTTGCTTCAGCGTATGGAGCAATCACAGGTGATGATGTCAGTGTGACACATGCCAATGCAGCCGTGTCGTGGTCTCAGATGTCTGGGAGTTGCAAGGGTGAATGCCTGGAATGCCGCCATGAGTCTGCCGAAGTTCGAGAAGCAGCCAATGTTTGTGTCCAATCACTGGTTGACTCGTACTTGAACGAGAAACCAGGTGAGGCTACACTGGTCAGAGGTGAGGAGATGTTTGAGGTGAGGGCAGTGCCGACGAACAGAGTCGCCCAACGACCTGGTTCGTACGGAGCACCAGTGATGAAACGACCCAAGGCTGAAGACAAGCAGACCTCATAGGCTGCATCGCCAAGTGCCAAGATGACGCCAATCAAGGCACCAGTGCCCACCAGGACGGTGACCACGAGACAGGCACCACCAGAGTTCAAGCAGCCACCGCCTCCTCCGCCGCTGCGAGAGGAGAGGAAAGAACCGTAACCGCAATTCGGTCAAGGTCGCCTGTTCGCCGTACAGCACCTGGCTCAGCACGAGACCGCTTGCCAGGAGCTTTGCCGGCAGCTTTTCCTTGGCTGGGCTATGCTTCGTCGAGAGCTTCGAGTGTCAGTGCTAGCCGTCGGGAGGAAGAGCCACCCCCGACGAATGAGCTGCTTGAGACCATGAAGGCAACGCAGAAGCAGTTGGATGATCTGAAGAAGGAGAAGGAAGAGACGTCGCACAGACGTCGGCGACGTTCGCGCAGCCATTCGCGCGGGCGCCGTCGACGATCCAGAACAAGAAGCAATTCGCGCGATTCGAGGAGAAGATGAACAAGGAGACTTAAGAACTCCCTCGCCGCCGAGAGCTCAGCTTCATGGACGTCCTCCTCTTCCAAGGCCAACTTCGGTTCCGGAGACTGAGCAAAAACTGGCCGAAGCAATCCGGATATGGCGGATACAGCGGATATGTGGGAAACCGCTGGCCTGCTCACTGCATGGAAATTTCCGGTGCTGCGAACTAGCCCTGAGGCATGGAATCGGCGAGTTCAAGTTGGCAAGACACCTCTGTGGAGTTGCTGGACGAGCTGTACTTCGCCGAGAACAAGGGATGGGGCTTCAAGGCGCGATGCTTGAGGTGGATTGGCCCCTATTTCCCTGGGTCTGACCGTCTGGCCCAGCTTCTAGGGAGCGTGCAGCTTTGGAACAGGCAAATCACGAGTCCAACATCAAGATCCTTGTTTTGGGAGATGATCCAGCGCCTCGTCAGTTCACCACTGAGCTGATGAAGGGTGAAGTGCCATGGACGGTCACTACGTTTGACTACGTGGCAGTGGGCCCTGACTGGTGTGCGTGAGCCTTGCACAGAGCCACCAGCTTGGAACCAGGAAGCCCAGTCAAGGATCATGATCTTTGCACCCGGCGATGCGCTCACCGAGGAGGTCGACGATGATCTTGGTGATGAAGCTGGCGATGGAGGAGATGGACATCAGCCTGATGATCCCAAGGGTGATGGCCCTGGTGATGAAGAAGTGCCACCAGAAGAGCCAGAAGATGAGATCCATGATCCTCCAGACAGGGAACGCAACCGAGTACCCTGGACAGGAAGGTTCAGCAATGCTTGGTGTTGAGTTGCCAGCTGATGGAAATGAAACCCCAGTTCAAGAGAACCCCAAAAGACAGATTTCCGATCCAATGATGTAGGTGACCACCCTGCATGTGTTTCAGATGCATCTCAGGACTTCGACAAGCAGCTGACCGCACAACCACCTGGCCAAGAGATCGTTTTGTCACCAACTTCGGAAGTTGAGGATGACGATGTGGTGGTGGAGCGTTGTGGCCCACCTGTGGTGGAAGCAATGTACAGTGTCAAGTGTGGAGTCTCGTGCTGCACCATGAACAAGGGTGAAAAACAAGCGTTTGTTGCAGGGTTGTCCATCATGAATGAGCAAGACAGGGTTTTGACAGCGCTCGTGAGCCAGACCCCACTGGACTCACGCCACATGATTGTTTTGAAGGATTGTCATTTGCCGTGGAAAGCTCATGATGTAGTTGAGACCCTGGACATCCAGGAGGATTGGACAAAGACACGCAAGAAGTTGATTGAAACAGTTTCCCAAAAGCCACCTGGGTTGATTGTTGCATATGTTTCCAAAACCGACCGTTTGGATTTGTTGGGAGATCTTTGGATTGAATCAGACCTGTACAACTGTGGAGCTGTTGTGTTCTGCCCATATCATGAGTTCCATGATATCCACGACATATGCATGTCCACCCGTGGTGATTTGACCGTTTACCTGGCAGGCCCCACTGCAGCAGACCTTCAAGAGGAGATCCTGACCTGGGATCAGTCTGATGTTACCCCAAAATGCTTTGAAGATACCAATGGGACTTGCCATGCCTGAGTTGCTTTGCAAGACATCGGAAGAAAGGTATTTGAGCAGTTTTGCACGTACCTGTTTTGTTGGTGAAGCAATAAAAGATGATGAGGAGGACATTGAACCCTCATCTGATGACATGCAAGTGCAACCCATGGTTGGTTCTGTTGACATGCAGAAGCTGGCACCAGCTGAACAAGAATCCCTAGCACTTGAAAGATGCCAAGCCACGCCCCAGAGAACATCCGGTAGGACCCAAGTTCCAATTTGAGTTTAATGCCTGCGTAGGCGTAGGGATGGATGTTGCAGAAGCCAGAGATGACGCTGGCAACAAGTATTCCATACTCAGCTTTGTCGACATCTGGGTTCCACTTGGCTGAAGTTGTCAAGGATGGTTAGCCGTTGGGTTAGCTGGGCCGGCTGGCCAAAACAAGTCACCTGTGACAGGGGTATGCATAACCGAGGCGAGGTACAAAGGCTTTTAGCCTCCCACGGTTGTGAGGTTATCTTTGCACCGTTGGAGACACCCTCAGCCATAGGAAAGGTAGAAAGGGCACAAGGTGTGATGAAAGCGATCCTCAGACGAGTGGTTGCTGACGCTGAGACTGGTGAGAGGGATTTCAGTATCTGTTTACACGAGGCTCTGAGCACCAAAAACCGCATGAGCAGAGTCAACGGATACAGTCCGTCCCAATGGGTATTGGGCAAAAACCCAAGGTGCCCAGGCAGTATGACTGACCTGGAGGAAGCTGGAAACGTTGGAGTGTTGGAAGACTCACTTGACCCGTCAGCCCGTTTTCACCTGAACCATGCAGCCTGCATGGCAGCTCAGAAAGCATTCGTGCACCTGGACCTGCGAAATGCAGCTGTACAGGACAAAACCTCAC